CATTTTGGACGCCAACTTGGCTTTGCCTTCCAAATGACTCCGAAACTGGACATCGCTCGAAATGTCGACCCCAAGTATCCCAATACTCTCGGAAGGTTGCAGGGATACTCCTTGGAATTGCGGCGCCATGACAAAGGGGTCCTTCTTCGCAGTGAACGCGCAAACTTGTGTCTTTATCGGGTTGAATTGAACCAAGTTCAATTCACCCCATTCGGAGACTCGCCCCAGAGAGTTCTCCACTTCAGACACAAGTTTTGATCGTCTCTCTTGCACCGCGCTCCGAGAGAGACTCTGATGGCCGATATATCGCGCATCTCCCGTGCTGTCATCCGCATAGCAATGCATGCCATCAATAGACAGCATGTCATTGATATACAGGATGAAAAGCGTGGGGGAGAGCACCGAACCTTGTGGAACGTTAAATTAACATTAAATTAAAATTAACGTTAAGCTTACTGTTAAATGCGCCACCCACTTTGAGATATAAGTTCTAAGGTCTCAGTATAGTTACAATAGCTGCCACGCCCTTCAAACCGAAACGTATTATTGCTTCACGGCAGAAATAGGTGGAATGGTGCTATCTACCCGCCCGGACTCACAAGAGGTCCCACCACCAGTAATAGTGTTGATGAACACGAGACCACAAAAAGAGCGTTAGCTTTGTAAATAAAAGCTGCATCCTCTAGTTCGACTGACTTAGCAGTGGTGTGGTCTCCGCAGAGTGTCGGAGCGGCAGATCCTGCTGTACAACGCGGCACAGTTGGAGGCGCCGCTGTGCACGCTGGGGCTGGACGTATCTCCAGCTGTTTTGCAACCTCACCTGGACCACGACTCCGCCACGCTGTTCCTCACGGGCCGGGTACGCACCCCCCTAACTCCTACCGACTGACCATAGAGACTCTTTGGCGGGAACGCGAGGAGTGAAATTGTGTGATTTGTTTTTAGTGTTTCTTCAGTTCTAAATGTGTAATAACGGTGGTTTATTAACTGTTTGATATCTGTGAAAATGCACCTAATGTGGTAAAATGAAACAAAGCCGCTGGACGTAACTTCTCGGGATCCTCCAAAAAGTCCACTGAAAAAATCTCAGTAAATGACCACTATTTCACTGAGATTATTTCTCATCCCATATCATTTCATTTCATTTCACTCCAAATTATCATTTTTCATAAAAAATAAGAATAAAAATTAAAATAAGACATGACTTAAAGGTCTTAGTTACCAGGTTATAAAATCTCTTAGAAAAAAAAACTGACTGACCCTACGTATAACGGTTTTCGGTGTCAAACTGTCCCAATATAGCCCTTCGAGATTATCGCTCTCGGTGCTAAGTGATTACCGCTTATTAAGTGGTCAGGCACTTCTCTTCACTACCTCTAACCAAAAAGGTCAAAGGATAAGAAAAAAGTTTCATTTCTATGAAGCTTTTTTATTGCTTAGGTGGGTGGACGAGCTCATGGCCCACCTGGTGTTAAGTAGTTCCCGGAGCTCGTAGCCGTCTACAACGTAAATGCCGTCGCCTACCTTGAGTTATGAGTTCTTAGATCTCAATTTTTACAGTACAATGCTTAAAATGTCTGTTTTACTGCAACTTTCCAAACGATGAGTTGTACTGTGCCTACAAAACTGTCTTCGCCAATTCCACTTCAAGATAGATTTGTTTACTTTCCAATAGACCGATCTCGGATATTCTAGAATATTCTAAACGTCACAATATTAGAAACAAAAGTGTGTCAATGGACCGTTACCGAGGAGTGACGGTTGACGGTCCTCTGGGTGATGATCCCCTGGGTGACGGTCTCCGGTGTGATGGTCTCCTGTGTGACGGTTCACGGTGTGACGGTCACCTGGGTAACGGTTCCCGAGATGTCGGTCCCCTGGGTGACAGCGCGTGCGACTGTGCAGGGTGACTCCACCATCTACTGCTACGAGGTGACGGGCGAGGCGCCGCACCTGTGCGCGCTGTCCCACCACCGCTGCGCCACGCTGCACCAGGGCATCTGCTTCCTGCAGAAAAATCTTGTCGCTGTCGAGAAGGTACCGTTGTGTGTGTGTGCAATAAAGCTTACTATAAAGTCAATGATTGTCTAGAAGATTGCACAAAGTGGGAATTAGTTGCTCGCTCCGGGCATTTCAATATTGCAATAATTGTTACTTTATAATACATCTTGTAAAAATGAATATTTAAGAAAAATCTAATATATAAAAAAAAGACATGCCCGCTGAGTTTCTTGTCAGTTCTTCTCTGGACGGAGGCTAGTTTTTGTGTATTGGCGGTAGTTCTTTTTGACGTTCAACAAGTATTACTTTCATTTATGTTGAATAATTTTTTTTTTATTTGATTTGATTTGATTTGATTTGTGTGTTGCTAACGGTCCGCGAATACGAGGGTAGTTTGTTTATAGTGAATTATTGAAAAATTGTGTGCCGCGTATCTGTGGCGATAGTGAAACTTTCGGAAGTATTCTATTTCGTTCTCTCGCCAGTTAAATCGATATGTTTGTCTCATTTCAAATGTCAAAAAGTTTTCATATTTCCTTTTAGGTCGAATTCGCTCGCGCATTGAGACTTACGAATGGCAACATCGAGCCCCTGTCGTTCACGGTGCCCAGGATAAAGGTACTCCTGCTAATATATCATTTTCGTTGTATTATTATTATTATGTTTTTTTATTGCCTTTGTAGGCAGAAGAGCATACGGCCCACCTGATGGTAAGTGGTCACCGTCGCTCATGGAAGTCAGCAATGCCAGGGGCAGCCGCTGCCTACTTTCAACACTTTTGTGTTGTGTTACGAAGGCTTCCAATTGAAATAGAAATCATTGCCGTTCGAATCTTCAAGGATATAAAGAATTCTGTAGATATAATGTACATTATTATAAGCTTCAAACTAAAGACGGTGTATATCTATTTATTCATACCTCCTGTATCTTTATCTGTCCAGAATTTCGGGTAATTAAAGGGCTGTCTGGAAGAAATCGCTTTTAGTGATAAGACCGCCTATTGTACAAACGCTTCTGAGACATTCAATGAGATCTAGATTAACAAATTTTAATGTATATTGAGAAGTACTGTATTAGTATTTTTTTTTGCTTAGCTGGGTGGACGAGCTCACAGCCCACCTGGTGTTAAGTGGTTATTGTTAAGTGGTCAACGTAAATGCGCTACCCACCTTGAGATATAAGTTCTAAGGTCTCAGTATAGTTACAACGGCTGCCCCACCCTTCAAACCGAAACGCATTACTGCTTCACGGCAAACCTACTCGAGCGGACTCACAAGACGTCCAGTAAAAATACTTGTGGTATCGGGTATACGTGTGGTCTCATGCCAGTACCGCGTGTCTGCAGAGCGAGCTTTTCCAAGACGACCTGTTCCCGGCGACGCTGGTGACGTGGCAGCCCTGGCAGGGCGCGCAGGGCTGGCTGCAGGGCCGCCCCGCGCCCCCCCGCCACCGCAGCCTGCAGCCGCCCGGCATGCCCGCACGTGCGTAGCGCCCATTTATTATTATTTTCCTACCTATGCTAAAAGCCCTTTTTTTTAAAGGGATTTTATGACCTGGTAACTAAGACTTTTAGGTCAAATCTTATTTTTTTAATTATTTTATTTAATTTATATTCTTATTGTCATGTAAAATGATAATATGGAGTGAAATGAAATGAAATGAAGATTATTATAATAATTTGAGACATTAATCAACTGGTATGAAATTATATTAAATGAGACACAGACCACTAAGTTTCTCGCTGGATCTTCTCAGTGGATCGCGTTCCCGATCCGGTGGTAGATTCTGCGAAGCACTGCTCTTGCTAGGGCCAGTGTTAGCAACACCTTCAGTTTGAGCTCCGAGAGCTCACCTACAACTTTTGTCTATTGCTTAGATGGATGGACGAGTTCACGGTCCACCTGGTGTTAAGTAGATACCGGAGTCTATAGACATGAGTTGTATGGCCTTACTTTTAACAGTACCACAGCTGCCCCGCCCTTCAAACCGAAACGCATTACTGCTTCACGACAGAAATAGGCAGGGCGGTGGTACCTACCCGCGCGGACTCACAAAACGTCCTACCACCAGTATTCATATAGAGACGATGCATTCAAGAATACCTTAGTCTGCATTATTATTTATATTGCGTTATCATTATTGAGGGACATATGTAAGAGAAGCCTCCGCGTGTTAGTGAGTGGTTGTGTCGTGTGCAGTGTCGTCGCACGCGGCGTCGTCCCCGGCGCCGGCCGCCAAGCCCCCTCCGCAGAAGCCGAAGCCGGACCTCATCAAGTCCCACCTGCCCACCGACCTCAAGGACAAACAAGAAACCGTGAGTACAAGAACCATAAATCTGTTACATTTTCATTTGAGTCAGTTCTTGAAACGTCATATTGAGTAACTTTTTTATTTTTTATTGCTTAGATGTGTGGACGAGCTTACAGCCCACCTGGCGTTAAGTGGCTACTGGAGCCCATAGACATGTACAACGTAAATGCGCCACCCACCTTGAGATAAGTTATTAACTCTCAGTATAGTTACAACGGCTGCCCCGCCCTTCAAACCGAAACGCATTACTGTTTCACGGCAAAAATAGGCAGAATGGTGGTACCTATCCGTGCCGACTCACAAGAGATCGTACACCAGTAAATTTGGATCCGGTTTAAAAGTATGTAATTTTTATTTATTCGAGAATTGATTAATTTCAAAGGACGGTTGCCTCACCGCCATAACGTATGCTTGGCTGTACAAATAGACAGGATATCCTCCATTGAGCTCCAATAGTAGCTCCGTAAACTGCTCAAAGCTTCTCAACCTTTTAATGTCTCGTGGAGATCGGTTTCTCCCCCTCCTCCATATTAATAGAAATCACATGAACTTTTTGGCGGGAACGCGAGGAGTGAAGTTGTGTGATTTGTTTTGTTTTGTCTATTTAGTGTTTCTTCAGGTTTAAATGTGTAATAACGGTGGTTTATTAACTGTTTATTGTCTGTGAAAGTGCACAAATGTGGGAAAATGAAACAAAGCCGCTGGAGGTAACTACTCGGGATCCTCCAAAAAGTCCACTGAATAAATCTCAGTAAATGTCCACTATTTTACTGAGATTATATTTCATCCCATATCATCTCATTTCATTTTGTTTCATGCCATGTTTCATATTAATCAACTCCATATTCACTCCATATTATCATTTTTAATAAAATTAAGAATATAAATTAAAATAAGACTTGATCTAAAGGTCTTAGTTACCAGGTCATAAAATCCCTTAAAATAGAAATCACTTTGAGAGCCACTGACCTTTACCGATGAATTACTTAGTCGAGCTAAATTCTTTCACTCGACTAAAAGCTAAAGTACCTCATCTCCTTGACTTTAGTTAATTTTTGACCGACAGATTATGAAATCTATGAGCGCCAAGGTCGAGGTCAACTTGAAACTAGAACAAGACAACATGGAGGGTGTCGATGAATCCGAATGGGACCAGTGAATACCGCTCTGCCAACTAAAGTGCAATCTATATTGTGAACTGACGTAAGATTATTGGAATGATTAATATCAACATATACGTAGGAATAATACGTAGAGTACCCTTAATGGTTGATGATAACTTTGTATATTAAAAAAAAAAAACACTTAAAAAAACGACCAGAGAATAACAGGAAAATCGCTTTAACCATTAATATTTGTTTTAGTCTGATTGTCGTCAGATACAAAAAACTCAACAAATTTCAATTATTTATTTATATTACGTTATTAAGATTTTTTGTTCAAGCAACATTTGTATAATGTATTTTTGCAATGGTCAAATGGGGCCTATATTAACACCAATGTGGGGGTGAAATAGCGATGACCCTCTGTATTTGGGTTCCACCCGGTCATTACCAACTGCTATGGACCAAAGATAGTTGATCTATCTCTGTAGACAAGATCTTAGAAGTGCAGACTGTACGTTAACCCAGAATATGGAGTCCAGAACCTATGGACTTGTCAGTGTTCATGTCAACGAACTCGGATCGAAATTTTTAAATAAACAGGCAGATAGTTTTTTTTTGTTATTTCAAAACAAAAAGAAAATATATAACATAATATGAGTAAATCTTGTGCAATGATACGGTCGAAGACTTGCCGCAGCAAAATCTACTTTAAGATAGAGGGAAAGAGCTCTGATTGGTGTTTGTGGTCTGAGGTAGAGGAGACGCGGGTAGCGTTTAGTTTCGACAAACGCATTCCCTAGCTTCCTCTCTGGGCGTTGAATTTGAACCTTACCAATTTTGCAAAATAATTGTTACCACATCCTGTGTATAAGTAAAATGGGCCAGTTTTGTTATTTCCTAAATTAGTTCTTTGAATTTTCCGTGAATCGTTTTTGTAACGCGTCTAAAACACAAGGTCAATAACCTCATCCAATTTTAATTTGTGTTACATTGCGTTCTATTAAAATCCTTAATAGATTTTAGTTTTCGACCGTATTCATGTTATTACAAGGGTCAATATACAATAAACCGATAATTGCGGCAAGTATTGTAACTAACTGTACTTGTGTTTAGAACGAAATTGAACTGAAAGAATATTTAGTCGTTTTTGTGGCGATTTTATAAAAGTTTCCTTAAAAATTGAGGACATGAGTGGATGAAGAGGATGTATGATACAATTTGTTTCATTTTGAGAAAACGGACAATAAACTTTTGTTACTTATTTTTGAGATATTACGCGTTGGGACTGTTAGTTTTATTGTTTTAAACGTGAAATTATACTACTTCCATTTTTTTTACCAATATGGGGATATTATTGGAATTATTTAAAATTAAAGAACACGTAAAGTAACCATGTATTATAACTTTCATTCAACGTGATAATATTTCTTCTTCGTACATAACTCCATCACATGCAATTTCTTAAAATAGTCTTTAAACCCGGAGTTTTAAGATCTAATATGGTTTATAGGCACATAACATTTTCATCCAATGTAAAAACTCAAAAATCTTAAAAATGGCACTTATCCCTTTCATCCACTCACGTCTTCAACTATTTGAGGGTCGCGAGCGAAAGAGACAGCACTAGTCGTGCTTGAGGATCTTAAAATATTAATTTCCATTTCCTTGGATTCTTTAAATCCCAAGAGGCACAGAAAGTTATTTTCTGTTGGAATTTTGTACCTACAGATTTCAGACAAGCGTATTGCTTACATTTTAGTATTTCTATTAAAAAACTTAGATAGTAATTACATATTATTATTATTATATTTGTATTTCTAAATATCGGGAATGTAGTGTCTTACTGAGGTTGATTGAATATTCAATACAGCCTGAATTGAAAAATATACTCAATGAATTTATATTATATCGTTATTATTAAATCACTTTATAACTTTGATAGATTAATATTTGCGACGTAAATTATGAGTATATAATAGTTAAATTATTTTATCGAGTTCTCGTATTAGATAAAATAAAATGATAATATAAAAATTGGCGTTATACCTAATTATTTTAAACTGAATAATTGGCATCGCTGATGTCCGTGGGCCGTGTCGTCTCAGTTTCCATTAGTTGGACAACACATTATATCTATCGAGCTAAAATTGAATCTATTATGTCACTACATGAATACCATAAATTATTATATTAATTGTTCACAATGCAATAATTTTTTTGTAGACAGTAACATTTTTCCTCACAATACTATTGTCCTTTTCTAACAGCCGAAGTGTGAGTAGGATGGAACACTACGTCCCCGAAAAGCTTTAGAAATGAAAAAAGTTTTCGTCACTAGTTTATAAAAATCATTGTAAAGCTTATTTAGTGTAAGTTTGTATTGAATTTAAGGCCACCTCGATCTCCACAAAATATACCCAAGCTCTCCGTCAAATAAAGTTTTTTTTTGCATAAACTAAAGCGCCCCGTACTCGATCAAATTTGTTTGTCAAACTTTACGTTTTCATCAAACAATAGCTTAAAAGATATATAGATACCAAATATCAAACAAGTTTGTTACCTTGCCCGTAGATTCGGTTTTCTCTTCGCCGTAACGAGACGTCGTGTCGAGCAACGACTGAGATCTTGTTTGACAAACACCCCCATACACTTCAAACGTGTTTGTCAAACACGCCGTCAATTTCCATCAAACACGTTAGATGTAGACACATAGACTGTTTGACAAACGCCTCAAACAAAGCTGCATACTGTCAAATAATTTGACAAATACGTAAAATTTGATAAACATTTTGATAGTTTACAGGGCGCTTTAGTTACAAAGTCACGAATCACAATTAAAAACAAATCTAAATGGAATAATGAAACAAATGATTGACAGTTTAATTGCAATTCTTAATAAGTCTGCAATAATTCAAATTATAAAGACGAAAAGATATAAAATAATATTAATTAAAATTAAGTCAAAAACGCATAGAATAATGCACCATGGTTCTCGATACTATGATCTCATCCAACTAATATTGACTAAACGTAAAAATTGATTCACTTATTATAAAATTCTTATTGATGTCGTCATTGATAAGAGAAGCGGTATTCTAAAAACGGAACGTTCTTGCTTTAGCCGCAATGGAATGCGTTTATGTACATTCGCAGTACATTGCGGGTGCATACATTTATAAGACTGTATAGGATAGTGCGGGGTACATGAGTATTGTGATTTTGTTTTTTCCTATCTATTCTAGTAACCTCGTGGGGTTATTCTAGATTCACCGAACTAGTTCGTGAGTAGAACTAGTAGTGAGCTCGCGGGGCTCAAACTTGACGTTGTTTCTAACACTGTCCAAGAGCAGTGCCTCGCAGAATCTACCACCGGATCGGAACGCGATCCACTGAGAAGATCCATCGAGAAACTCAGTGGGCTGTGTCTGAGGGTTTGTGATTAACGCGCATGTGCTTCAAAGTGACAATCGAATGCATTTATATGTAGCGATTAGGACCGCTTGTTGGGCGCGCACGAATATCCAAAACATACGTAATGTAATCGTGAAATTATTGGACTTATCTTGCTTAAAAAATATATTGAGATGGTAGGACATCTTGTGAGTCCGCACGGGTAGGTTACCGCGTACCGCCACTGTTTCTGCCGTGAAGCAGTAATGCGGTTTCGGTTCGAAGGGTGGGGCTCCGGTAACCACTTAACACCAGGTGGGCTGTGAGCTCGTCCTCCCATCTAAGCAACAATATAACAATTAAACAACAATATAAATGATATTAATGAATTAATAATATAAATGATAATATAACACTCAAAAATGGTAATCACTGTTTAGCTAAGCAATACATATGATATTAATTTATTGGGATCTATAAGATGCTATGTTATACATTACAAGTAACACATACAATAAATCAAACTGAAAATGCAAACACAATTACGGGTACTGAATACTTTGCAATCGCGAAACAAGATTCATTGTGTTAGTGAGTCTCTTGAAGTTGTTACCTAACGAGAAGGTCACATGAGACTAACCCCGCTTATTATAATTTGCGTTCCATTGCGTTTTAGGAAAACCCCGTGCGTAAATAAAGAAAATGATCTCTATTTGTATGCTTTATCGGTAATATGACTAAGTGAGGGTGACTTGAAAAATAATCAGCCTTCGCGTAGCGTTTGTCTCAATTTAATGTCAACAATTTAATAAAGTCATGCTCAATATAATGAAGCTAATAATACTACAACTAACTACCCTCTTTTCGTGTAACCCGTGTAATTAATTTATATAAATGATTAAAATAGAGAATTTTGCTAAGAAATTTTACAATCTATACAAATAAATAAAATTGGAGTGTCTGTTTGTAATAATAAAATAACCACTTAACATTTTTTTTAAATGTTGTCTGTCTGTTTGTTCCGGCTAATCTCTGGCTCGGCTGGACCGATTTTTGACGGGACTTTCACTGATAGTTAGCTGATGATATAAAGAGTAACTTAGGCTACTTTTTTAAAACTAGCTTCGCCTCGCGGCGTCGCCCGCGGTACGACAATAGAGTACCATCGCGGGACTCGGCTAGTTTTGTAAATAAAATGCATTGTTTTGTTCGAGGATAGGTTTACATGAATAATACGCGTTTAGTGATCGCTAGTTGCCATACAACATCACGTTTTTGCTCAAACCGCCAAAGAAGAATACATGTGAAATTATAAAGTATATAACACACATATATTATATAACACGAAATTTTATTTACATTTCTATGTTTTACAATTTTTAATGACTGTAGTTATTATTTTTATGAAGCAAAGTGAGAGACGACTAATGGGAATGTGGTGAACAAATGAATTCAGAATGGGAATGATGAAATTGGCATCAAAATAACTCATAATGTGTATGAGATATGTATATCAAAAATGAAAAATAATTTCAATCTGATTATATTGAACGAAATTATAGAAAGGGATGAAATATGTTTATCAGGTCACTGGTATAATAAGAATTAAAACTTAGAATTTAATATTTTGGGGTGGGATTTATTAATCTGCTAGTACATATGCTATGTAATATATCTACATATCTATTCTGTATACTGCTCTTATGTATTTATAAAGAATGTTATTACTTTTGACTGATTGTTTATTTTAAAAAAATATGTGTACCAAGGGGTTTTTTTTAAAGTTAAAAAGTTAAAACTACGAAAAACATTGTCAAATTTGTACTGAAATTACAACTCAAATAACATTTTTTTTTATTTTACTATTCGTTTAATGATGACTTTGAAATTAATGTTCTTAGCCTTGTTAGAAAAACTTCGATTTTTTTAGATTGTAACTTTTGTGATGCATTTATTGAAACTCTTAAAAATGACCCGTGTATAAAAAAGCATTTAAAAATATGTTAATGAATTTTGGTTGAATAAAATGTTTCAATCGAAATTAATATAATTTAATAAAATATATATAAATTGCGGAATATATTGTGTAAAATATACCATAAAAGGTATCGTTGAATCTCTCTGTATTAAATAGAAAAAAAATCTATTTAAAAGTTAGAAGGAGGCGTTTTATCATGCTGTAGTTTTTACTCTAACAGCGACATGGACCTTAATGCTAATTACTTATAATTACTTTAGTCTATTAAAAGCAATGAAATTACAACGATAAAACAGTAATAGATAATTTGCGTGGAAAAAACTAAACAGGTAAAACAAAGGTGTGTTAAAATGAAAACAGAGAACCCATACGGATGATTAGCCACATGTGACGTCATGCCTTATTGTTGTTTACCTTGACCTCAACGCCCGAGAATAATATTAGAATTATAAAATTTCAATTGGTATTTTAAAATATGTCATTAATATTTCAGAAAAAATAGTTAATTGGGTGATCTTTTTCATTATACATAATAATGTGTCTTAGCATCGCCTTTGAAGTTTTTCTTCATTTTTGCTTAGACGAACGGGCTTTCGGAACAGGTCAAAATAATTTAAAACATTTACTAATTTGACCGAAGCGGGTTTGATTTAAATTTTCATAATTTCAGAAATTTATTTGATAATAAAAAAATAATTGTTGATAAAATAGTAGTTTTTCAAAAAATTTATTTAGTCGAAGTTATTCATTCGTTTAACTTGTGTAAATAAAGTCAGGTTATGTGCGTCCCTTGCTCTTCTGAGTGAGAGTTCTGTCTCCGTGGGATCGGATATTTGGGTGGAAAAGTCACTGAGGAGTTGCTTACGGCTCAACTGAGAGATACCAACGTTTTGAGGGGCGTTGATTCAATTTTCTATACAAAAAAAATACTCAACGTATGAGACTTTATCAGACGATTGAACAGAATATAATTGTTTCATTTTATTCACTAGTCATGGTTTGAAAATATTCGCTTCGTATAATTATTTATAGCGATCTTTTTTTTTTTTTGTAAACGCACCGAAATCTTTAAGTGTGTTTGTGTTAAATTTAAAAGAAATCTAATGCATTTCTTTTAAAGCCTAGTTAGATTACATTTTCGTAATTCATTTGTCGGCGGTGTAAGAAATGGAATATGCGTCTTGGCTTTTTGTATTAACAGCAATACAGGCATCAGTTAATTTGTCTGTATAATTAATTTCAAAATAGATTACGTCAGGTAAATTCTGACCCATCGAATATTTTTGGTTTCCTTATAACCGTTAAAACTTGCCGACAAAATCTGCACATATCTTTCAAATACCACTTATACACGATGCCAAATTAAATGATGTGTTAGACAAGGTTCGATTCCAAATGGCACATAATCTAAAAAGAAATTAATTTTAATGAAGAAAAACTTAAAGTTTTGAAGAAAGACGAAAGAGATTTTCAATGATTTTATGCACAAATAGCACCAGGTTGTTTTAAAAAGTTGTGTAGTGACAATAATAAATTTGAAATTAAAACGATACCTTCCAGAATGCTTCAAGATTTTTGCTTCAAGATGAAAATATATATGTGTGCCAATTTAATTTCTAAATGAAAGAATGTAGATTTACATTGGCCTAGTCACTTTGCTGATCTTTTTCTTTTGAAGACTTAAAAATAAATTTACCAGCTTAGAATAATTATGTATGAGGAGTTTGGGGACGATTGGAAGGTTCGGTCCTAGCAACGTCACTAGGGCCCAGCGTGACTGCATGTGTTAGTCATAGGAGAAGTTTTTTCTAAATTAAAATAGTAATGATGTAGCGATTAATATTTACAATTAGAAATGTATGAAAACGTATTTATCTGGTAAATTTATTTTTGTTATATATACATATATTTTTTTCTCACCCCTAATGTAATATATCGAATGATATGTGTGAGTGCGTGTAATCTTTGTGTATTTTTTTGAATTAGTGTAAACCTACAGATATCCTAGTTTTAAGGCTCAATATTTGGAGACATTTTAATTATTTTGCATTTTTTTATTAAACTCTTGCTGAATATAAGTGCTGTTTTATTGATGTTCTGCTGTGGTTTTTCTCCTTAAGTGAACAATTTGTCAGTCACTATTCGGATCAGTCATTACTTGTGACACTTGTTTATGGTGACCGGATTCCACCTTGCCAAAGTTGCAGTTTTGTTGAGAGATTCATATATCGTCGTTGTCAAACCAAAATCTGCTATGTGCACTTTTTGATTTTTTTTACTTTTTGACCTTTTCGTATAGTCACAGCCCTATCTACCGTATAAAAAACACCGTTATGTGTCTATAGTTTTAATCCCCCCCCTTCTGGCTGAGCCTTTGCTCGCCCACCTGTCCTGGTGAAACTGGAAAGGCCTCCGGGCCACAAGTAATCCTTCAATCATAAAAAAAAGCTTTAATATTTATAGCTTTCATTTGATATAGTTCTTAAAAATTAACCTTCATATAAAATTTTATACGAAAATGTTTTTACTCGTTAATTCAAAATAGAGTTTTTGCACATAGCAGATTTTGGTTTGACAGCGACGATATGCTTTTCCCAATGCCAGGCATTGTGCCGCTGGGTGGGCGTTCTTAGCGTGAACCACGTGTTAGGATGAGTTCACACAGATCGGCTCCGAGAGGAGAGGAGATTTTTTATCACGTTGGAAACATTTTGGGTAATATTAGTAAAGTTTTACTTTGCACGTCCACTTTTTTATGTCATTAAGAATACTTGAACGCGCTGTGTGTGAGGTAATAAGAGAAGCTGACCGGCTCCGGTTGCGTGCGCGCCGCGTCTATTAGAAATAGTTGGCGGCTCCACTCTGGTCAATTCCAAACGTATACGATCCGGTCT